CCTAGCGGAAACCACGCGAAACTCGAGAGCTTCCTCTTACTAACAGTACATTGTTCTATCAAATCGGACTTATAGATGAATAGCAATAAATTTTTAAAATCGGATGATTCTTTTTGAAACGCCCTGTATTATCAAACAGATCGAGCTCTGAACGCGTTAATATTTGGGCGCCCGCTGCCTTCCCTACCACGACCAAAATGCAACTTCTAGCTGCACACGTGCGCAAATGGTTTTGGACTACACAAAACTCCAATCAAAAAACTAATTTAATCGAACAAGTTCCTAAAATGGTGTAACCTTACAACCGGAACCATTTCGCAACCGGTAAGAACGATTGAACGCAACCAGTTGGACACTGATCTCAACTCGGTCACGTTTATGTAAATTCATACGTACCTAGTTCCCACTCATTTACATGGTTATGGTCACCAAACGGTTGTATTCTTGACTAATTCATAAAAACGATGAAGCTTTAAATCATCCGGAATTACGCATAACGGAATCAGAAACCTCAAAAGAACACGTGATAACGTAGCTTGACGTCGATGATTTACAAAAACAGTACAAAGAAAGTACAGAACCTCTTTGGTTTTTAACGGTTTGCTTTGCTTTATTTGCAACCGTCCATAGAACCAATATACCCATATAAGAATGTTTTTCTTCTTTTGTAATTTTGGAAATGAATAATTTGTCATTTTTATAGGAGTAACGTAGATCTACTAAGGGAGGTATTGCATTGGGGTAAAAAATGACTCCCATTGTTTTGCGAAAATACACGTTTTGACACCAGGAATCCGAATAAAGCAAAATCTCGTTGATGCAGGTCTGTCGGTCTAATTTGAAATAAATAACTAAATTAATTTAATAAAATCCGCGCAATCGCAAAAATAATCGGCTAATACCCTTTTGCCTCTCTCACGCTATCGCCACATTCATTCGATTATGTTAAAATTTTGAGGTATCATGAATTGGAGTTATAAATAGGAGTCCGAATGCAAAAGTGCAAATTTGGTTTCCTAACACTATCTCCTAAATTTTGATGACATTTTTGATATATGATTAATTGGGATTAGGGTAAATAAGAGAAGTGTAGAAAAATCCTTAGGCCCGGTTGTACAATGTTAGTTTAAACTTCAACTGACAGATTTCAGAAACACGATGTTTAAACTGACATTGTACAACTGGACCTGAAGCTTTTAAGCACCCGAGCGGTATTTCCTAAACTTCCTAAAGCACTCATTCTTCAGGGAAACCCCAGGACCGCAGGGCAAAGCAAGTTACGTAACCGGGAAGCCCACAACTGGGACCTTGCACCCAGGCCTCGCCTTCGTTACGTAACCAGTAAATCCCCTTCCCCACGCGCGACAAGCGGTAGAGGGAGGAGAGAGATGCCACGCCGTGGGGGGAGGGAGGGAATAGAGTGTCTTTGTTCTACTATAACGAGACAGAGAGGTCGCACTCACTTTCAATTTCTCACTTCGCAGCTCTCCCGCTGGTAACCTCTTTGTATATAAACTTACCTTGGTTGCCCTCTCTACGCCGTTCTCAAGGATCTGATTTCCTTGCAACTTGCAACTTGCAACAATGATGATGAATTTCTACGATGCAATTACTTAACAAAGCAGCTGGCTAGTGAGAGGTAAAATTTCTACCAAGCAATTAGGATGTGCCTGACACCTGATTCTACGTTGACAATCAACCACGCTTATAACATTCTTATTTCTTGAAATTACGGCACTTTCACTCTCGTCGCCATGCTATATACGCCACTACTGCTCCAAACAAAAATGGACTGCTCGATACTCCGAAAAAAACACGTGCATCTGTCACCATCCAACCATCGCTTGAGCTCGCGGATCGAACTACCAAAAGAACTTCAAACAATTTCGATTCCTTTTAGCGACACTTATCTGCAAAAACTTTGGGAATCAATTCTATCAAATTCGGCCCGGTTTCTAAACATAAGTTTTTATGGAATTTTAGTTCTCAGTTTTCGCCGATTGATTGAATATTAGCCGTAATTTATTGGTGCTATCTTCTTTCATTACGTGCTGATGCGTCAAACAGTGCCCTTCCTGAATGAGTTACTAATCGGCTGTGTGCGCGTAGATATACAGGCTGTTTCACGCAAGTTAAACGTATTCAGGCTTTCATTGATAAATTAAATCTGAAAATTTGCATACCAACATAGTTTTTATGATCTATCGAAATAAAATACAGTGCGATCAATAATGAGTTGCTGCGCCGCTTCAATAAATTATGACGTTAGTAATCATTTGTCGCAACAGGCGTGGTGCACCAATACTAAAACATAACCTAAAACTTCAAACCAAAGTAAACTTTGGACGATTAACCATATTTAATCGAAATCAACGATTTAAGCACGTTGTAAGTTTCCAAATTATGTGGAACTACACGAATAGCAAATTACTACAAAAATTGAAACGATTTTATTTCTTTTACAACTCGTCAATATCGAAGTAGCTAATTGGGTAAATTACATGCCCACTATAACAACTGTTCGAAGTGCTCGCCACCATTATTAAGACAGGGATCCACTCTTTTCTTCATGTTTTCGAAGACGGAATGTAACTTGTTGCGTAATGTTTCAAACGGCAGCTTTTATACCTGCTCGTAATTCGGCAATGGTGTGTAAATGGTTCCGAAAACGTTGCAATCTCGTAAATTTGCATTAAACCAATTGCATGCAATAATTTAGAGGGCTTTGTAAATCTGGACGATGAGTTCTTGTAACACGGTTACTCTAAAGGATAAAAGTACAGTAGTGCGACACGTTCCGTTCAGTTTGTCGTAGCAGCTGTTTCGGAATTTGCTCAAGAGGTTTCTCGAAACTCCTATATACACAAACGTATCGAGTACTGCCAAATTCAATTTTCGTCTTTAGTCCTATTACGGAAACAGGACTGCAAATGCATCTTATTCTCTTCTAAAGTAAAAGGCATGTCGGAGTAAACTTATTACCTTTTACACGCTACAACTAAAAAACGTTTGTTTATAATTTATAAGTAATTTACTCACCTTGTAAATATTCGAAAGAAACTGGTAGACTTGAAAAAAGCCGTTTTGAAATGGACGAAAGTTAAGAATCACAAATCGGAATTATAGGTTATGTTTTTGTTTTTGTTTTGTATTGGTACACATACCTATACCTGGTTGCGGCAAATGATTACTATTGTGATATTTTATAAGAGCGGCGCCGAATATGATTATTGATCTCCCTGTATTGTCATGATCGTTTCACTTCCGGTTCTACCGGATGTCGATAGCAACTTTCTTATTTTTAATAGAATACCCTAAATTTTTTTGAATTTTCGAAATCGACATGAAAATCTACGTTGCCTTATACCACATTTCCCTATACCCAGCAACAAAGGCCAACTTCTTCGAAATTTGTCAAAAATGTTGACGTTTGACTGCTATTATTCGGAGCCCTATACCTATGACTCCGTTGACTTGAATTTCAAAAAGTCTTCCAAAATCGACAATACTGACTTAATGCTACATGAGAATGATTTCAATTTTGATCGCCCTTCTACAGGGTGTTTTAAATTAATGGTCAACTTTATTAAATTCAAACCTTTAAAAGTTGATTTTTTCAAATGAAACATTTTTTTTTACTTTCAAATGTTGAAAAAAATTCTACATCGATTTAGTATTACATTCCCTATACCTATCTGTTATGATTTCCGTTTTATTTTAGATTTTCAAAAATTGTGACCGTTGTGCATAATTTTCTTAAGAGGCCTTGAAATAAATGCGTTAGTAAAGGTTACTGTACCGTTATTTGAGACATTGCAAGAAGACAACAACTGGTTTCAACATGACGGAGCACCGGCTCATTCTATCCATGATGCTTATACAGCGTGTTGCATCGACAGGGGGAACATAGGAAATCCCATGTAAATTTGAAAGAGTTTAACTATTGGCTTCCCTAATTCCTTATACCTTATAGGAAAACTCTAGTTAAGTTATTTTAAGAGCATTAAAATCCGCATCTAAAAGAAGAACTATCGATGTTTTTGATTAACCCCTTATTAACGAGATATTGCCAAAAATATTTTGTAATTTATCCTTTCTTATCGTCCCGTATTTATAGGGTATAATTGAGGTAAAGGTTGACTGCCAAATGAACTTGTCATACTGAAATTTAATGCCTCATTTCTATTATTAACCATGAATTACACAATTCGAGGGAAAGAATGATGATTAAATGGTATTATCGCGGAAAATAGTTATCGACAAGTATCAGACATTACAAAATATTTTTGACAATATCTCTTTAAGGGGTTAATCAAAAACATCGAAAGTTATTCTTTTAGATGCGGATTTTAATGCTCTTCAAATAACCTAAATAGAGTTTTCCTCTAAAATAATTAGGGAAGCCAATTAATAGTTAACCTCTTTCAAATTTACATGGGATTTGCTATGTACCGTCTGGCGATGCTACACGCTGTATAAGCATCATGATGTACGTGTTATTTCCGAAGTATGGAGGACTCCATTCTTGTTGGGAGCAGTCGCGGCGTATACAACATGGCGACGAGAGTGACAGTGTCGTAATTTCAAGAAATAAGAATGATACAAACGTGGTTTTTTTAAGACACCCTATAGAAGGGCGATCAAAATTTAAATCATTGTCACGCAGCATCAAGTCAGTACTGCCGATTTTGGAATACTTTTTGAAATTCAAGTGAACGGAGTAATAGGTAAATTTTTAAAAATATTGAATAACTTGAAAACCTTTGTGCTGGGTATAGGGAAATATGGTATCAAACGACATAGATTTCAAAAATGCAATATATAGGGTGTTCTATTTAAAATAAGAAAGTTGCTATCCACATCCGGTAAAACCGGAAGTGAAACGATCATGATATTTTCTTTCGATAGATCATAAAAAACTATGTGGGTATGCAAATTTTCAAAATTAAATTATTAATGAAAGCCTAAATACTTTTAGGTAGCGGTTTGCGTGAAACAGCCTGTATATTCGACGATGAAAGGTTTTTATTTCGTGCAAATGTTTTTATTGAACGAATAAAAACATTTGCACGAAATACAAATCTATCATTATCATAACCTGTCTACAGCCTATGCGTAATTATCACCAATAAGTGCTGCTGATGTTAGGCAGTGTAATCCCTCCGTTGTCCTCAATAACGTCTCATATCCCTCCTGTAACAATTGCCAAGATATTTTCACTTCAACGAACTTAGTGGTTGTAATATTTCTAACCAAAAGAACCTTCAACGCGTTATACGCTTTTGTAAACGCCTGCCGGGAAGATGTACGAAGTTTTTTAAGCTGTTTCACATCCAGTATCTCCATTTTTCCACAAAAGTTTTCCCACAACAAAATTCACAAACAAAGGTCCTGTCACGGTCGCCAATTGTTGTAATTATTTATAATTATGCCCCTATTGAGCACTCACTCATTATATTCAGTTAAATCGACTTGAGTGATTGACAGAAGTTTTTTTCGGTGCAATCAATTATTTCCCACCACATGAAACTGATCATAAAATCACAAAGTGAATAACTGAAAATAGCCGGTGCAGTTCAATCAATTCATTTAAATCAGTAAACGTACCTACCTGTAAAATCTTTCGATTTTTATACACTTGCCATGGATGAAATGACAGATTTATTACGGAGTCAGAGAGGTTATATTATGTAGATAAGCATTCGGTTCAGTTTTTTTTTCTATCCATTCAACTGACCAGACTGAACTGATTTAAATGAAAGTGATTTGACTGACTATGATCACCAGAAGCGAATACGCTTATAAATGTATGGCACGACATGAAAGACATCACAATTGCAAGTTACTTTTTTGTCAACACAGGCGACCTACAAGTATGAAAACGGCTATTGTTATACTGTATGCACTCTGTCTACTAAAACTCACCATAAGGTCGTTTTTGCGTTGGTGACTGTTATGTAATTAAATCGCTGTCCGGACTGCAGGAAAAAAAGTACGGCGACAGTAAAACTGTGAACCGCAATGTAAATAAAGTACTCTACTTTGGAAGAGTGGATATTTTCACATCTGCTATTTTCTGATTCACAAACAAGTCATTTTCAATTATTTGCAATTATATTCACGTATTAACACTTACACAATTAGCAGCAACATTTTGTCACCTCGTATTGGTATTCGCAGTGGCTTTGGCTTTGGCAGTAATTATACACAAACCACAATCCGCTAATTGAGTTAAAACCTGTTTTATTGTCTTCGGTTAAATCTTTTCATAAATACTAAAAGGGCGAAGGTGACAGATTATACGACTTTTAAAATGTGTAAGCATAGCTTATGGACGTAGAAGGTCCTCTAAAGTCTACTTCTATTAATGAGAAATTAATGATCGGGTAGTGTTAAAGACCACGAATACGTGTCATTATTTTCTCGTTACTAAAATATTCATTTTGACTTTTGAAACCAATTTATTTATTAAAACATTTTTAAACCCAAATCGATCTTGAATGTTGCTGATCCTTTGTTGCAACACGAGCCGACGTCCCGGAAGTTATTAGTTTTATTATTTATTATAGTGTTCAAAATAGTCTTTATATTACGTTTACTTTTGGAACTATGCGAAGTTAATTATGTTACCACATCAGCAAAGCAACATTTTAATTGAAAGTAAAATTCTTTCTGTACTTTCTATTTTGTAATGTGTCTTACATTGACGGTTTCTATTTTACAAAAATGGCCGAATGTGTTGTTTAATTTCTTTACGAAACGTCACTGGTTTGACCCGAGGTATTCTAATCTTCCCTCTCATTTTATGTAATAAAGAGATAACAGGAATTCCCCTTGTTGTGAAGCTTGTTTTGTGTAAAAAGGGGAATGGGGGGTTGTCATCCCTCGGAAGTAAAAGTGAAAGTACACTTGTTTTTTTTTTGTGGCCTGAATGGCTGGTTGATATATGCACACCTTGTGTTAATTCGGGTGATGTAACTTATTTCTTTTTGTTTTCCGTTTACACCATCCGGGTCATTACCATTACTATTACATGATTGCATTGCATTATTATCTATAAACTAATGCAATTCTACAGATGCATTAGGTATATAGCAAACTAGGTATATGGGGGCCATGGCCATATTCATAAGTAATTAGTCATACACCAGAGTTAAATTGTCTTTTAGCATTGGGAATGCTTATGTTTTGTGTATGGATATTAAGTTACCAGTTTCGTCAAGCAGAAAAGAAGACATTGGTGTCGCGTCAAGTGTTGATTGTACATACGGTACTTGCTTAATAGTGCGCAATTGTTTGTTAATTCCAATCTAAAATTCTCGCACATCGCCTTTAATAGGATTACGGGGATCATATGATGAGGCTCATTATTCAGTAGTGTACGTTTGCGCCACGAGCGAACTTGCGAGCGAGTGGAGCAAGTGATCCCGGGTGAATAAGGCTTATTTGTGTTTTACATATGGCGTTATAAGGTTGTCATTTCCAATGTTTCCGATGGTTGCATGGATTGCTAAATCTGTAAATTTGTTTTCTTCGTTAATTAAATCACTATTTAAGGGCTCGTCACAATGAACGCGGTCTGTTCGCCCCGGGCAATCGCTTGGAATTAGCCGCGCGGTATGGTACCTTGGGTAGCTACCTTTAATCGTACCCTTTGTTTCGTACCACGTTATAACAATTATTTATGGGTGAAATCGCGCGCCCAACATCCATGAACCATGTGAATTTATTATAATTTTTAATGTTTGTTTCCTTGTCAAGTGTGTGTCCACGAACTTATAAATTAAGATGAACTGCTAATGCTGAATTGACAAATGACACCTACATGGGGGCAGCCATGATGTGCACTCACTTGGCGCGAATTTCAAATCGACTTAAACAAGCATTAACCTCACGTTTTCTAAATAAAATACTGTGACACATATCATTTTCCAAGGCTGCAATAGTCTCAAAACTTGAGCACTAGGAAAATTCCCCTAGAAAATAACTGAAACGTGCACATCATGGCCGTACCCATGCTTGGGCCATTTCTACTTCTATGCAACTGTTTGATCAGCAGTCCATCTTAATTTATAAGTTCGTGGTGTCCAAATTTTAATAAAATAGGACAATTCGACATTTTATAAATTTAGTTGATTCATATTTTAACACTTATGGATTAATGTTATTACCTCGGATATTACCAAAAACTGTTTTCTTGATCAAACCATTGGTTTGAAAGTTTCCTGACAGAAAGGCTGCAGGCTCTTATAGTGGATCAGTTTGTGGGATCGTGGCGAGCAAATGATTGTGGAATGTGGAGTGCTGCATGGATGTGTGCTGTCCACGACTTTACTTTTTAGTTTACGTGAATGGTTTGCGCAATGGAAGGTTTTGTGGAGGGTTAACAGCCTTTGCGGCTGACACAGCGTTGTCGTACGGTGTTGCCGATTGGTCTGCGCTTACAAATGTTATTCAATGTCATCAAAATTAGTGATTGGTTTGCTGGAAATAAACTGAATATTAACATCACAAAAAGTAAAATAGTATATTTTAATCTCAAATGTGAATCCCCATTCGCTGCTTTGGTAGTGAAGTAATCCCAGTTGTACCAATAAGCAACTCTGTCAATCCGAAATACTACAACGTGCATTTAGGGTAAAATATCTAGGATTAATATTGGACAACAAACTAAAATGGATCGATCATTACCCACACCAGAAATTTATTGTACATTATGATAAAAAAATTATATTATTTAATAAAGTTTTTGATCCTGCATGCACTAAAGACCGTATATTATGCTAATATTCATTCACGAATACAGCACGGATTTGCTTGTTCGGGCGCTGCTTAATTATGATGCCTCACTGCGCCCATTAATTAACATACAAATACACGCGGTAAGAATTATTACATTTCAAAATAAATTAGCTACTCTTTCCCCATATTTCAAATTTCACAAATTTTAACAATAAAAATTTATTTCTTTACAAAGTACTGAAAGAGTTCTTCGAAAGGTCTGAGTGTTTTAGAACTAAAAAATATTGTAACGTGATTTATAAATTCGGGTTCGATTTATATCAATATTTATTAAACAAAACTAAAACACTACAAAAACCGTACAATTTATATCGATTATTTATATCACACACTTCGCAATTTATATTTCCGCGCTCGATGTTTCATACGTACTCGATCTCGTTCGGTAGTAGACTGCTTCGATGTTCGGTCCGCAACCATTTATACACGCAAGCAATGTAAGTCCAGAACATTCGCGTAATTACCAGATATACGTTGCAAACATTCCCACTATCGCGCGCCTAGAAAATTCCAGAGCGCTAAAGGCGACGTCATGTCTGGAGCGTTTCCGTTACAATATGAAAGATATTCGCGAGGTAAGGATATGATTAAAGTAAAACCGCTCAAACACAGTTTTACGGCCTTTCGAAAAACTTTTCCTTATGTTGGTACCATAATTTATAATTACGTAATTGACCATTGTCCGGAATTGTGTAAGAATATAAAGAAATTAAAAACAGCACAATATACGATAGCATTCTAACAGCATTAAGATGAAAATATCATTCAATATTGATCAACATTTTTTGTTGTTTCTCGATCAATGATACCACATTAAATCAGTCCAAAGTATGCACTGCAGTAAAAACGGCACATACCTGTTCATCACGGAGCCGGACATTAGGGCGCCGCCGATAGGGCGCGAGACATATGGGCGCGTGGACATAAGGGCGCGAGGACAAAAGGGCGCGGGACATAAGGGCACGAGGACATAAGGGCGCGGGACATAAGGGCGCGAGGACATATGGGCGCGGGATACACTATTCTCTAAAAAAATATATTGTAGTTTGTTTGTGTTGATATGTTATATCAACAGTTATTACACAGGGCGTTCAAGATACCAAAAACATATAATGCGTAATGCCAAAAGTTGGGTACATCTTTTATATCCCTGGGTGCACTATCTTGTTGAAACCAACAGTTTCCAACTTTCGTTTTTTGCCAAAAATAGTCGAAATGAATTCTAATATTGCCAAACTGCGAAATGGATAAATCCCGTTGTATCACAAATTTATTTTTCATCGCGACCACATTACATTTCCTTGCCCTTGGTAAATGGAAAAGTGAAATGTTACATCTTCATTTTCTTTAATTAAAGATTACTAAATTAATTTGCTGACTTTTGTAGCATCGTCGAGAATCACAAGTTTGCGTTTGGTACAGGTACCAAATTCCGACAACCCTTTCACCCGCAAATTGCGTTTGAAATTTTGGCTCCACCGCCGAACAGCTTAATCGATTCAACCGTTCCCTTTTAAATATTTTCAGAAATGGCCCAGCAGTCAAAAAGGCATTGTGAATTTTGAATCTATCAAACCCAAATTTTGGCGTCGCCTATTGTATATTGTCGGCTATTTCTATTTTGAAATTCGTGCAATTCCTATCTATAAATTTGATAAAGAATTCATCTGCACAGTTACATCGCAATCGGTTCGGTGGTTCTATTCTGGTTGGACATAAAAATCGAGCGAGCGAGCGATTGGGAGAAAGTATAACATTCCCGTTTAAACAACTATGTAGACCCTAAAAACAGAAATAAAAGTAAAAGTGATGTAAAAAGTGACCCAACTTTTGACATTGCGTATTATGTTTTTGGTATCTCGAATGCCCCGTATAATGACTGTTGATAGAAAATATTAACGCAAACTAACGACAATATATTTTGTTAGAGAATATTCTGTCCCGCGTCCATATGTCCTCGCGCCCTTATATCCCGCGCCCATTTGTCTCGCGCCCTTTTGTCTTCGCGGCCTTATGTCCACGCGCCCTTGTGTCTCGCGCCCTAACGGTCGCGCCCTTTCGGCGGTGCCCTAATGTCCTAGACCGTGTTCATCGCGAAGTCGTATTTGTGATTCGGTGATGGAGTAACTTTTTCCACCATCTCTCTTACAATAATTAAGTTACAATTTATTATTGATTTGATTTGGTTTGGTTTGGTTTGGTTTGGTTTGGTTTGGTTGGGGTCGGGTTCGGGTCGGGTTCGGATCGGGTTCGGGTCGGGTTCGGGTCGCGTTCGGGTCCGGGTTCGGGTTCGGATTCGACTCGACTCGACTCGATTCGATTCGATTCGATTTGATTTGATTTGATTTACTTCTGTTGGTACCTTACTTCATCCTCACCCCGACAGGCAAAACATATATTGTGGTGATGTTTTAAAATACGATTAATTGAGCGTCCTCAGAGTTAGAGTCGGGCGAAGATATCCTCGCTCAGCACATCGGGGGTACGATTCTGGGGTTCCTGTGGGTGTTTCGAAACATTCTACGATCTGGATCATCCAGCTGTTGCTGTCGGATTTCACTTGCGGGGCGCATGGGTATAACTACGGTAACTGTACAGATGTTGCACGTATCCTGTGCGTAGGGCGCACATCGAGGTCGAGACAGGGTGCCTGCTACGACGTTGCCCTTTCCTGAGCCTGCCCTAGAGGGTGGTTTGAAGGGTCGAGGACGAAGGCCCAGTTTGGGAGACGTCCTGCCGGCGTTTTTATAACCACAACCCACTTTAACGGCTGGTGGTCTGTTGCCAAGGTGGTGTGAGCTTCTTCGATGTATCCTTGAAATTTTCCAGTAGATCAAACGGAACAGATTTGTAAAGACCTCATTAATTGTTTGGTATTGCACGGTATGCTTAACTTGTCGATCGCAATGATTTTCTCGAGGTTGACGCAAATGCCTTGCGGGGTAATCACTAATCAGGTGTCCCAAGTAGCGTATTTGGTGTACACTTTTCGTGGGGGACGTTAATTTGAACAGCGCGAGTCGGTGTCAAGGTCGAATAAATGTTGTTCTACACTACCGGAGAGCACTGTAATATCGTTCAAATACGCGAGCACGTGTAACGTCAGTAAGTCCATTTCGAAAGCGATTGATTAGCCGCTGAAAACTTGCGGAAGCGCTTCTAAGCCCGAACGGCATCTTCTTAAACCGATAAACTAAAAGGTTACAAAAGCGATCCTCGCGGCGTACGGTGGCTTGTCAGTACTTAGCACGTAAATGGTAGCTATCGGCGACAGCGAGGAACCTCAATCGGTGGTAATCAATATAGACCCTTATGACTCCGTCCCGTTTGGGAACTATGACGAGAGTGGCAGCTCAGGTGGAATCGCATTATTCTATCACTCCTAGTTCCAATATGCGACCGAGTTTCTTCTGGGACAGGTATCGTTTTGCTGGTGGCAGTCGGTGTGATGGTGCGTAGATAATAATAATAATAATAATATGCTTTATTTTTTTGCAAGTTGGTAAAAAAATAACAAATTCAAAGTTAGAGAGAGAATCACTCAAAAAAAAGGATTAGAAAACAGTTAAAACTGATCTAAGTTCTAATCCTGAAGAACTGAGTAATAGTATCATGTGTGAATAATACTTTGGGTATACGTAAGAACTAAGAAGTGAAAATATAAAGCGAAAATTAAAAAAAAAAGAATTGAAGTTACGAAAAGAGTTTAGATACATAGCACATAGATGGGAACGCTGCGCTGGTGCTCGGGTCGATTCGATGCTCGTAGTACGGTGTCGAGCTGAGTTCGTCCGCGAAGACGTGGTGGTGGCCGGCGAGCAGGCGGCTGAACTAGGCGCGTTGAGGTGCAGTGAGGTCGGCACTTTGGTTAGGTCAGTGTTCTAGGGCGTACAGCGCTACCGTGTATGTGCCAACCGAGCCGAAACGCCGTCGTCACGGAGAGTGTGGGAAAGAATCCTGGGGTACATCACGTGTGGTTTCGTATCGATCCCATAAGTATGCCACCGCGCGGTCGTCCTCGACCTCGACCGGTGAGCCAACGAAGGTGTCGTCTGGGAGTAATTGACGCGTTGGTGTATGTAGGAGAGGCGGCTGCTTCCCTTGGTCGGAAGTATGGAAAGAATTCTTCCGCTGGTTCTCCCAAGATTTCATCGTCCGCGAAGATATACGTCCCTTGGTCAGGTTGAGGACCAATCCGATGTTGTATATATAAAATCGATGCCAAGAAGGGTGTGTGTCCGCTGTACGAAAATGTCATCGGTATTGCCTTGTGCTCGAGGTGGGTCGGAACGGTGTGCACAGCGCTTTCTCTGGGCGATTTCCGTCCGTTAGGATTAAGGTTATGGTCTAAAAACGAGTGGGTGTCCTTGCTGGTGCACCCGGTACAAGGTAATATCTACGAGGCTCTGCTTCGTTCCTGAATCTACGACGACTCATTATCCACTGGTGGAATTGATGGCAATTTTGAGTAGCAGAAAGTCATTGTTTCGTGCCTTTCTGTTGGCGGTCTGCACCTCAAGCAGTTGCGGCGGGTTACCCCTGAAGCCCCACAACCGTAGCAACTAAGTGGTGGTTTTGCGGTTTGTGTTGTGGGCTGTGCTGTCAGAGGTTTAGCTTCCTGTGGCTTCCGTTTGCGATAAGTGACCGGATCCAGTTTAGACTACCTTTGGAACTAATTTGACTGAACCAATATCCAGACGTGCTCTCTGTTAATTCATCGAACACCCAGGCCTTTTGATCCGATGGATACGCATGGCGGATTTCATTCCGGAATGTTAAGATTTAACTAATAATTAGTTGTGCACTAGAAGTACAATCTGAGAGAACCCGCGTTCCGTTCCTGGTCCTTCCAGACCATGTTTGGCGTTTCGTCGTGAATGGGGTTTACTCAAACTTGAAAAAAATTGAATACATACCTACAAAGGACGGTAGTTGTCGCCACAAATTGATTCCAGTTACGACCGGGACCCTTACATGCCTACAAAATCGGAACATTGATTAGAAAGTATATTACATTTCTTTTCCTTGGCAGAGTGTGAATGGCATTACCTATCAGCAAACTCCCTCAATTAGCAAGTAACGTGATTCTCCGCACAGCGCACCGTCTATAGTCTGAGTGAAGATTTTGTATATTGATGAGAAACGTTATATGCTATTGATCGTATAAACCCACCATTAATGTTTACAGTTCAGCATTAGTTTTGTGGGCAGCTGTATTGGCGATACGTTCATCGATCATCACGCTTGGTCGAAATTAAACTAATATAAGGTTGCACTCGAGTTGTAATTACGTTAAGATGAAAAATGGTATTGTGTAGAGCGAATGTTTCACTTCAGGATTTGGGAACATTTCGATTTACTTGATTTCAGAGTAATTAAATGAAGTCAGTTCAATTATAAGCTCGAGTGTAACTTTTCTGGTTCCGAGAAGTAGCGGAAAAATTGTATGGGCATTTTTAAATGCTAGATAACGTTTTGTTCTATAATTGTTAATCACATCTTTTTGCTTTTCATAGTACAATAGATGCGAACATAAACATGAATTAAACACATTAAAACCTCATATATATTTTAGTACGAAGGTTTACAGTTTTGTTTATGAAAAAGGCAAAAAAAGCATTATCTACTATCTTAATAGGTTAATTTTATTCTACTTTTATGGACCTTTTGAAAACAATATTTTTGAGACATTTCGTACTAAAAGGAAACGTTAAACTTAACGGACCTCCCATAAAACGGCATTAAAAATAAATAACGGTTGACTTTATTCCTTTATGTATCAGAAGTAGGAATTTGAAAGCACTAAATAAATGGAAATATTGTGTACTTAGAAGTCGATCCAAATAGATAATAAGAGGTTTAATTACGAATCCAGGAAAGTTATATATATATATATTGCTAATGGAGAGCGCCGTCCGTGCTTTGAAAAGGTCTATTGAAAATGTTCATCTTTTCCGACGGCGCTGTTTATAATGATTCTTTTTAGCCTCTAACCAATCTCATACTCACTGTACGTGTCCATTTCGTGATTGGTAGTTTCATAAGTTATATCTGTTACTAAAAAACAACTATTTAATTTATAAATAACCTAATAAATATCTATAATTTCAGTTACGCGCCAGAAACTTATGATATATATGATATGAACGAAACAGCAAAGAATAATTTATTAGCAACGAAAGAAATACCTATATTTCCTGAGAAATCACACATCACTATCGATGCAATAATTAATAAACCACCACCACATGCACATGGTCCCAATCCATATCACCTCGTGATATCATGGGGAGAATATTCGTATTTACACTACAGTAGTATTCAAACAATGACAATATACCTACCCTGTATCTGTATCAGGTATTTCATCCTTTACGTTTAGACGTATAAGCAGAGGATTAAAACAGTGGTTGAACCATAGTTTAGTAATTTATTATTAACGATCCTCGAGATCGTTTATAAGTTTGTATTGCTGTCTGTCTGCCCGCCTGTCTGTCCGTCCGTCTGCCTCTTTAAACCTCAGGTAAGTATGCAGATTTAAAAAAATAGCGCATGCGCAACCCAACTTTTATATTTGCGTATATTTTAAAAATTCCATATTTCAAATGTGATTTCGTAAAACTATGCGCAATTAATTAAAATTAATATTATTCACACAATACTGTATTAAATTAATCTTATGCGATATCCAGGAAACTTTAAAATATACTACAGGTGCAGGATAAACTTATCATAATATACGGTCGCTTTGTGTTAGTTCTCATAACTCTAAACCATTTTTTTAGGGCTTTCGGGATCTTGCCCATTTTAGCCTACATTAGAGAAACCAGAGGACTAAACAAGGATTTATACGTTTCACGCTTTGGGGCCGATCAAAGCGACTTCACACAAAACATACGTAGGCCACGAAAAGTTGGTAGCACATAAGGATGACATAATACGGGTTACAACGGTAGTTTACTTGCAGCTACAAAACGGACTAAAGTGTCATAAACTCTCTTATCGTTGGTACTTAGAATTGTTGGTACATCGAGAGGGTGTGTCAAACCCAGCTTGAGTAAGCCTTCCACCATAATATTCGTGTAATTTGTATTCTGAGGACAGGCGAGAACTAAATGATTCAAATCTGCTACCTCATGATTACAAAACGTGCACTGTGCCGAGGGAATCAAATTTATTCTGTGCAAATGTGCTGGAAATCTACCGTGCGCTGTTTTTAGCCTGACTATGCTTGATTGATAAAATCTATTGGATTTGTAATTATAGTAACACGGCTTGATTGTTATTGAGGGCATTATACGGGTATACTGCGTGGGTCTTCTAACGCATCACTCTCTCCACTCCGCTTCCCATTGCCTTCGAAGAATTTGCTGCTTCATGAATGCCGTTTCATCCTGTTTGGACTGCGGGATGTTTAAAATGATTCCCGACCCCATAGCTCCTTTCGCTAATATGTCCACTGTTTCGTTGTGGCTTATCCCGATGTGAGCTTTAATCCAATAAAAATAAATTTCGATACCTTCTTTACGGAGGCGGGCCACATTCGTGAATATGTCTAGGATATACGGGTTGGTACTGTAAAAATTAGTTTTGTTGTCTAATTAGTCCAGTCAAATTACGGTTTGGGCTGGATGTTTACACTTCACTCAACGACACCAAGCGCATCCTATGTAAAAAAATTCGCTGTATCCGAAAATCATAGTCCCCCTGGCCGGAAACGCCCGGAACATTATTGTTATAAACATAAAACGCAGAAAAAATGGGAAAATGTCGTGTTTTGTCACATTTGACTTCGAATATCTCGTTAACTATTGCTCGGAGGGAAAAAATGAATAGAAATGAACTTGTTTAGAATAAAATTTTCTATCAGATACAGTTTGGTCCGGAACGCTCATTTTCAACTGTTATTGTTATTTATGGAAAAATGTAAAAAGGTATTCTCGAAAATTAACACGCTTTGTTTATTACTAAGTAAAATTCATTCGATCTTTTTGAAAATCCGTATTTAGTAACTTCTTTTGATAACAAAACAATATGACAAACCAGATCACCGCGTAGGTTTCATACTCATTGATTAATTAAATAAACAAGTAGAAAAAGGGATGCTTTGTCTTTCAAACTGGGGGACTACAAGAGCGTTCCCAATTTTTTTATACATAGTGGAACCGTAAAACAATCTTTTCCAATAACTGTCCGCGACACAGGGTGTAGTGTCGAGGCCAATCACAGTGCAGCACGTGTGGCGTCATAAAAAAGAGTAGAGAATGGAAAATCCGTATGTAAGAAAAATTGGGTGATAGAGGCGATCAAGAAAACCATTTTTTCCAAATAAACGGAGAGTCCAACGTATTTCGTCTGAGAGCCGCCCCCAGAGAAGTGGTGAAATTTGGATTTCTTCTTTAATTATTTTTTCAGCAACCATAAGTTACAAAGATGGGCGGCACGTCTTTAAATAGGTTTTCGGGTATGCTCTATACGATTTTGAAAAAAAATTTTCAAATATCCCTCCACGAAAAGGCGCACACCTACTTGGTGGTGCAAAAAAGTTCTGATTTCGACGAAATTTTGTACCTGGGGGTTTTTGAACATGGAAATCACGAATCTGGAAAAATTTCTACTGCAATTCTTGGCCGGACAGTGAAAATGGAGAGAATTCCACGAAATTCATTCTTAAGATCTCTTTTCAAACAAAAGTTATACTAATTATTAAGATTGTTAGAAGTTATTGATATGCACATGCACATGGCGTCCATATTGGTGAACTGTAGTAGTGTGGGTGGATGTTCTACGTCGGCAGTGGGTGATTGTTGGTCGGGTGGAAAAACGGTGGTGCTGGCTGTGCAGTATCCCGTAATTCGGCTTCAAACACTATTTTACTTACGCCAATTTTAATTAGTGCATGCTCATTGGGTGGTTTCATTCGTTTCCTATTTCTTCTCACGCCTACACTGCCGCACGTGTTGATCTCTGTAGTCAGAAGACCCCGTATCAAACTTTAAATTTTTAAATTCGCCAATACAGTAAAGAACTTGGGACCCAAAAAATACACCAAAAATCACCTCCTGGTCATTTTCTCAGATATTAAATTTTTTCTCATTTTATATTCTATATCGGCATGGTCGGATGTCGATATATTTCAAAGCGTTTTCCAACCGCACGGTGGATTAATTTCACACACCTCGATAATTTTCTATGCCCCAAATTACAAATTGCTGTTTTATTAGTTACTGAATTCTATGATTACTCTTATTACAAGAATTGTCAGGTACCTACACGTATAGGTAACCATCAAAAAGGAGTTGTAACAAAACCGCATACGCTATAGTGGAATAAATGGACATCATCCTGCTTCAAGCAAAGGAAATCGTATAGAACTATGTCGTTAAATGAAACAAGTTTGTCAAAGGAAAACAGTTCGTTATACATAGATACTTTCGAAATCTATGCTTAACTTACGGTCGCGTTTCTTTGAAAGTTTTCATATTTTTTGTATCCGTCTAACAGTAAAGCTCAGTCTCAAAAGTCACATAACGACTCCTGTGTATATAATTGGACTATCAAGCGACATTACGAGAACTAATTGTATTTTATATTTGTATTATTATAAAGAAAATTATGTAGGAATTTTTATTCATACTTTACACTTTACAGGTTACAATTTATACGGTATGTAACACAAATTTAACAAGTCTATTTTATTGTCATTCTGTGCTCTTAAAACCGCGTCCACTTGAAAAGGAAACCGAATAAAATAAATAAAATAATTACCGTGTATGTTTTATATTATTCTAGCAGGGAATTATACAACATGACTGCAGCTACTGTATAGCGAGATAATTATTACATGTACCTACCAATTGTAATAGACAACATTTTATAAATTTGTTACCTATTTATGAAGGTACGAGCATTTCTTTGTGAAAGTTGGTAACGTGACTGTACCATAATTTGGGTATGCTGATTCCAAAAAAAACCATGTTACCATCCCGAATTCTGACAATTTAAGTCAAGTTTGAGTCAAAATTAGAAATTCAAAATGGCTGCCGTAAGGGGCAGCTGGCGTATAATATATACAGTAAAACCACTGTAACCTTAGAAAAAGTATGCTTTGCGCAGCTAATATAGAAGGCATGGGAAGGGATTGTACACTCCCAGTAAGACGTAGTCCGTTTTTAGGCTCAGTGCGCTATTGATTATTGCTCAATCTAATGTTAAGTTAAATGACTATTGTAGAATTGAGTAATGTGTTATTAACTAGTAATAAATAATCGATAACTTTTTTAATTATATTGACATTAATACCATGAGTAATGTGCAAATACTACTTCTGTTCTGGTTGTAGTTTCTGTTCCGAATGTACATTATAGCCGAACCTGGTAAGAAACGCCGATCAAGTGCGGACGAATCCGAACATGCATGCGCAAATTTTCTAAGGTAACGATGGTTTTACTTGTATCTTCTTTTGTTTGGAAGATATCGTAATGTTTATGAGCATGAAATTATCTTTCCAATGACATCATGCCTCACCGGAAGTGACAACCAAAAG